TTTCAATAAAAACTGAATCGTTTGTATTGAATAGGGTTAAAGAGAAATGATAATTAAATAAATCTGTTGTGAATGCTTTAAATATGTGCGATGTATGCTCAGACTTTTTGCAATTACTTCTCTCTTGTAAGTTTCATACGTTCAAAGTAATATATTTTTGAAATCGAACCCAAGTCGAGTTTAAAATTCGTGACGTTACCAACACATGTTTGCAAAACAAAAATAAATCGTTAATTAACTATGAGATTTAAAGTTTTGTTTTGTCTTAATTAAATACTTTTATGCTATTGACAACCCCGTTTATCATAAATTTTAATTCATTGTTTGGTTGTAGATGAACTAGAATCTTTCAAAGATACAAATGAGGACCAAATCTTAAGTAAAAGAGATATTGGAATTGTGCTGTCTTATGTGCAGGCATGGCCTTCACGGTACGTATTTTCTTAATTAATTGTTTACGTTAATTTTAATACAAAATGTTATCTCTTATAGGCAGTGTATGTGTTGTTATCGTGATACAAAGAACTTGGAGAGATTCAACTGTATCACTCAAAACATAATTTATTTGGCTGTTTGCCAGTTAAAAAAATTAGGCGAGAAAGCAAAAGAAACATACAATAATGAAAAAAGTAAGGAAAAGGTGGCAGGGGAAAAAGATAAAGTTAAAGTTGCTGATTCTACAGCGAATCAAGAAATAGATCAGCTTTTGATGCTTGTTTCAAAGATATTTATTCTCAACTTTCCATTGTATGTTGCATTTAAACATACAATACAATCAAAACTAGATGATCTGACACAACAAGAAATGCAAAATCTAAATATTTTTTGTGATTTACATGATTCTGAAATACCCATTTTTCTACTAAGAAATGTTAGCTTTTTCTGTAAAACAGGAGGAATACATGCAATGACTAATTGCTTCTCTTACCTTTCACCTGAAGAATTACCTGTTTCTACTGCCCATGCTATGATTGCTGTTGGTGAGTGTAACTTATAGTTTATTCGCATTTTAAAGTTTGATACTTCAGAAATGTGCAATAATTTTTAAAAACTTATGTTTACTACTTACTACTAAAGAATAATTTCAACTATAATATTTATTTTGTTTTGATAAGAATAACACCATGTTTTAATAATTAGGGCTGAGAAAAAGAAATATTGAATAATATCAATAATGCTGTAACAATGTAAATTACACAGTTTTAATTGCGTTTTTTCTTTTTCTTATTCAAATTTAAGAGGGTGTGTAGTACCAGTTCCTCTTTAAAGCTAAGTTAATTGTTATTGTTGCTTCTTAATTTTTAAAATTAAAAAATACATTTCAGTTTGTAATTTAAAACTTTGGATGAATATTAAGAGCACAGTAACAATGTTGGTGCCCCTTCGTTCGTGTGTTCTTCGCTATATGTGCAAATTATCAGATCAGGACTTAAGGACACCGACCATAAAGAGTATGGCAGGTAAATAAATCTTCTATAACAGACAAAACCATAAAAAAAATATTTTGTCATTCCTTATGCGTTGTTATCGTTTTTAGATTTTATGTGGAATGCTATAAAGGATCCTTTAGATACTCCCATGGCATTTGATATTGATGGTTTGGATTTGGCATTCAAATATTTCACGTCAAGTACACTGACGATGAGATTGGCTGGGATAACGCAAATTAACAATCAAATTGGAGTTCTGGCAGAGTTGTGTGTGGGGGAAGCCCTGCCCGAGGCCGAGTCCGCTCCCAGACATATGGCCGACTGGCTTATCAGCAACAAAATTATATCGCACATTTTTGGACCAAATTTGCACGTTGAGGTAAAATATATATATATAAAACAAGCCCTTTTCTTAAATTTTTATTTCCGTAACTAGTAAATAGTACCAACATACCTTGGGGCATACATAGGCACTGGACGTATACTGCTTAAAAAGTAAATAAAACTTGCAAAAAAATAAACTTAGCTTGTGAACTCAGAATGATTGATTTTATTTAAAGATTAATTTTATATATTTTTTTATTTAAAGTTTAATTTCATATTTTTTGCAATGAATTATTTCTTGTGTAGGTAATAAAACAGAGTCACATTATACTCAACTTCTTGGCGATGGAGGGCCGTATAACATGCGAACACATTGATACGATATGGGCCGCAGCTCAATTAAAACACTGCTCAAAAACTGTACATGATTTACTACCAGGCCTCGTGAAGCACCTTCCCGCTCCCCCCGCATTGCATCTTTACTCATTGCTGTTTAAAATGGAACCCAAGGAGCATACCGAACAGGTTCGCTACAAAGAATTTCTTCTCTACATATTTCCTTTAAAAGTAAAAATATATATCATTTTTTTGTTTTGCAGACTTTATTTCTAGCATCGGCATTAATTAAATTTATCTGGACCAAAGGAGGAGCTGGTGCAGAGGCAGGACTTATAGGATTAGCTGCATCAGCTGCGGGAATAGCACTCCACAAATGCCACAGTTCTACCGAAAATAGCGTATGCACATAATTGAATAATCTTTTTTAAGAGGAAGATAATTTTTTACTTCTTAGGGTGAAACTTCTGGTCAGTCAGAGAGTCATAAGTCAGAAAGTGAAGACATCGATGGTGTCGAACTTGACGATTTGGAGGAACAAAGCGTTGCTGTTGATAGCGAGGGACCGACACCTTGTAAAGTGCCCCGAAAGCAAGTGTCGCCAGAAAGGAAAAACGTTGGAGGAAGCAGCAGTGACGTCGACATCGAAGGTGAATAAAATGAACCATATTAATCATAGAATATAAATTTTGTAGTAATTTAAGTTTATTTAAATCTTCTTCTATAATTAGAAGAACTTCCAAAAGGAGAAAGTAACGGAAAGAAGGGAAAGGCACAAACACCTGGTGTGACGTTATCAGAAAAGAGGCATGTGTATGTTGAATCATTTTGACAACAGATGAATTACTTTTTGAGTTTTTATCTTTTGTAGTTCTCCACGTAAAAAAATTAATGTAAATGCAGCAGCTGAAGCTATGGACGATTTGGCAACTAGTAGTTCTCCAGAAGAAGCCGAATCTGAAGGTATAAAATTCGGAAGAAAACGAAAGAAAATCCTCAGGAGGACGAGAAATCGAAAATTAAAAGGTAAAATGCTATAAATAATTATTTTCAGGACTGTTATAAAAGGTCGCATTCTCTTTAGAATTTTTAGGTAAAAGAGTAAATAAGAGAAACGTACAGGCTCCCGAAGTAGTAGCGTTAAGTGAAGAGGACGGGGATAGTGACCAAGAAATGAAAAGGGTTTCAGTAAAGGAAGCTGCAGCGTTGATTTTGCCTAGTCAGGTTAATAATTTAGTCGATACGTAAGTTTTGATATGCAGATTAAAACTGAAATAAAGTGTCTTAATTGCATATTTATGATTTTAGAGGTCTGAAACAAGCCATTTATATGGAAGAAAGTTCATCCTGTAGCGAATTAGGAAAAGAAACTGCGGCAATTGAAGGAGCTGAAGGCTCTTGCCCTAATACTTTTTTGGCCATACATTCAAGAGCTGCTGCAGAGTAAGTCCATCTAACTTTTTTTTTTTCGTTTAAATAATTATTAATACATACATTATGTTTTACTTTTAGTCGTATTTTGGAACTTTTAAGTGGTGAAGAGGCAGAGGCCGAAGGTGATGGAGAAGGCAGTTATTCATCGAGAATGAGCACCAAATCAGAGAAAAACATGGCCGATTTTGATGGCGAAGATTCCGTCTGTGAAGAAGAACTGGCACAGTTAGCTGAACATGTAAGTTCTGATTCATTGTATTCTTATTATCGTTAAATTTATTATTTTGTTTTGTTTTATGATATCTTTTTCGTTTTTTTTTGGCTTTAACAGTTGATATTTTAAGGCACAGATGAACCTGGACTCTTTGGCGAATCAGTCATCTCCAGAGAAGTCTCCCCAGAGGCTAGATCCGCGACTTTCTGCCTGTTTTAAAATAGAAAACGTCTGCTTACCCGGCAACACCCTCCTGTGGGATCTGCTTCAAGATAACAAGATTGTAAGTCTTAATTACATTACTCATTTTAAAACTAAAATAAGACTGAATGTTTTAGAGTCAATTGGGTGAAGGCCTGGCCTTAGAAGCCGAAAAGACCCTGTGCAACATCTTATGCTATAACACAGACAGAATAATCAGAATGAAATTTATTGAAGGATGTCTTCGTAATTTGGCCAATAATACGTAAGGTTTTTATTTATTTTTTTTATTATGAGATAATTTTACTTTTTCATTTACAGCTCCGTCATTGTCTCTTTACGTCTTCTTCCGAAGTTACTTACGTCGTTTCAACAGTTTCGGGGCTTAGACATGCACCATATCACTCACTGGGCTGAACGACAGCATCACATGATGTCTCATTTCTTCAATAATTTGAAAGTTTACACTGCAGACCCTAGCAAAGCGCTCACGTTGTATTCGCATCAGATGCAAATTCAAGTTCGACTACATTTCTTATCTGCTGTTTTTTCACCTCTGGGGTCCCCTCAAACATTTAAGTAAGTTTTTTCTAATAGTTCTGCTATAATTTGTCGTATTTTTTTCTGAGGTAAATCGTAACCATTGGACAAGAAGTCAGTCAATTACATATAAGGTTTTGTTGTTGTATGTTTCAAAGAACTAGTTTTTTTAGATATGAAGTAAGCTGATTACTAATTTGCTGGGTTCAAATTTTATGGTTTCATGTTTATAATCATTTTTTAATTAATTTCTTTGTTATTTCTCTTGTTAGATTAAGTCTGGAACAGGTGGACACATTATGGGAGTGCCTGGCACATGATCCTGAATGCTCAGACGAGCTCTTCAGCTGGCTGCTGTCTCAAGCTAAAAGTATCGAACTTCACGCACTTGGATTGAAGGCACTCAAACGCCTTTACCTTCATCATCTGCCTAGTTTGCCCCCTGAAAATTTCAGCATGACTTGTTTGAGTCTATTCCAACAGTTATGCAATTTGGCCAGGATCGCGACTGCCAACATGGATGCTAATGGGCACGATGGTTACGTTGTTGGTATGGATCACATGTGGAAAATCGCCCTTAAAGCTAACAATACCGGTAAATTTTTCTTCTATATCCTAAAACAAAATATTCAATCTTGTATATGCAGATGTTAGTATGGCTGCTATTCAGTACTTGAACGGATACTACATGGGGCAGAATCTTCAGCACGAGGGACAGTTCGTTTGGCAGTGTATGTCGCACTTGGCGGCTGCCACAGACGATCTAGTGTCCTCTACAACCCCCGGGACCGAAGAAGCGCCCTTATTGTACATACAAAGAGCCCTGTTGTTGCTTAAAACACATATGGAAACCTTTAGGCGCAGGTAAATTGATAAATAAACGTAAGAGTTACATAACTTTATTATTTACATTATGTCTTCTTAAGGTACGCTTTCCATTTACGACGTTGGGCCTTAGAGGGCAAAGGAGTGGGTAGCCACGCCGCTTTAGGAGACCGGTCTTCCACCCTTATAAGATTAATGGTACAACCTGCTGTGATGTCAGAAAGGTCCGTTTTGGATCTCTTAAGTTCGGATTATGTTGCCGACCTAAGAGCTGAAGTGGTTACTTGGTGGGAAAAACTTTGCGAGGTATGTGTATTTGTTAAATTAAAAACAATGCCGCAAATAATTAATTAATAACGTATAATATGGAAGTTTAAAATTATCATTTTTTTACATTAAGATCAGAAATGCTGAGTCAGAAAATCAAAGAAGCTCTCCTGCTTTACAAGAAGGGCCAATACGAATCATTACACAAGGCCAGGAACTTACCACTGAATCTGATGAAAAAACTCTGGCAGAAATGGGTTTCAAAGATAATCAGGTTAACATATGCATATATTAATTTGATTTCTAATTTTATTAAAATACGAGTTTACATATTTTTTTCTCTGTTAATTAATTCATTTATTGATCATTAAGATGAATTTTTGATTGCAGATGGTGTTTATATCAGTCGGGGCCGCTCGCGGATTAAAGAAAAGGGAATGCGCAGACTCGCCCTCCCTTCAACCACCTCCCCCCAGAGAATCGATTCCTACCCTTCTTTTGCTTAGGCCTAATTATTTCGAACAGCTGTTTGGCCTAATGCATACTCTTAGCAACATGAAGACACCAGTTAAGGGCGGAGTTAGTTAAAATCAATATTACAACTTTATTTTTTTTTTTTTAATTCCCTTATATTGTTTCAGAATAAGATGCCTCATACAAAAGCACAAGTTCTCAGCAGAAGAGTGTGGGACATTTTGAGTCTCTTACCGACGAATCCGACTCTATTAAGAGGCTTCCAGAACCTGGACACACCACTTGCCGAGCTCCTTGACCCGTCTAGTCCTCAGAAGTTGATGTATTCACTGTACATCGTCGAGTCGTTGAGTGTCAAGACGAGCACCAAGAATCAGGAAGATGGCAAGGAGCCCTGGAGCAACGTGTTTATACAACAAGGGGGACTTAGGCACTTGTTTGATATTTTTATGTCAGGTAACATTCAAGCATTTAGGAAATGCCAAAAGTTTCATTTCTACTCTCTTAAATGACTGTAGGTGTCTTACAAAAGTCTGGAGATAGTGGAGGCGAGTGGCACCAAGACTGTTTGGCGTCCTTGTTAAAACTGCTGTGCCACTTGGGGGTTGAGAACACTCCTAACGATACCAGACCTTCAAGGAATGAGAAAATAATTATTCCTAGTCTTAATGAGGTACAACGATTCTCTAATATTCTAATTTTTCTTTACCAGTATTTGAAAATGAAAATTTTAGTGTTTGTTGTCGATGATAGAAGTGAAGAGTACTATGCATAGGCTTACTAGCATCTTACAAGAGGCGTCCATGCCGAGAGATCCTAACTATTACAAAACTGGATTCTGGGGAAGAGCTCAAGTAAGAAATTGTCAATTTTCTTCCGTGCATTTTTTGTTTTTAACTAGTTCATTTAATTGCAATTGCTTGAGACCAAATTTATAATTTTTATTATANTATGATGTATAAGTGTTTGTTTTGTGTTTTATTAGAAATATATACGTTTTATCTTAAACTGTTTTGGTCGTAGTATACTTAATAATTAGAAATTAAAGGAATTATAGCTGATAAAACTATTATGAAAAAACCTTATCATCAGATATTAAGGAATGAAAACATTTTTTTTTTGAGGTTTCATAAGATTTTTAATAAGTCTATTTAATTTTTAAACGACGCACTTCATCCGAAACAAAAGATAAGATTAAATAAAAATAGTTGTACATTTGTAGAAAAGCAAACACGTTTCATTAGAGACATCATTCGACACTGCGATGTTTTTAGAAACGGTTTTAATTTTAACAATTTCCTTGTTACTGTACATATTTTTGTACTACAAGCATTGTTTTACTTATTGGTCAAAAAGAAATGTAGAAACGTTACCCCCAAAAATACCCCTCGGTAACATAACTTTAGATTTTTTTAAGGGATCATCATTTTTAGTGTTCGCAGATGTTTATCGTTACTTTAAATCGAAAAAGAAGTGCAAATATTTCGGTTTTTACACCCTTTTTCGTCCAGTATTCGTACCCACGGATACCGAGCTGATAAAGAAAATACTGATTACCGATTTCCAGCATTTTACAGACCGTGCGAGTTATTGTAACGAAGAAGTAGAACCCCTAAGTGCAAATTTATTTTCCTTAAAAGGAGAAAAATGGAAATATATGCGAACCAGGTTGACACCAACGTTTACATCTGGGAAATTGAAGTATATGTTCCACACCATCCTGGATTGTGCTCGTGAGATTTCCACCACATTGGATAAAATAATAATCCAAAAAGAACCTGTTAACATACAAGAACTCATGTATAAATTCTCCATAAATGTTATCGGTTCGACTGCCTTTGGCTTAGATATCGACTGCTTTAATAATCCCAACACAGAATTCAAATATCACGGCCTAAGGGTTTTCAATAAAGATATATCGAGGAGAATCTTATTCTTTATTGAATTATTCTTCCCAAAACTGTTGTTCTTGTTTCGAGTAAACTTCGTCAAAGTTCCCCGAGACACCACGGAATTTTTCTTCAAAATAGTTAAAGACATGGTAAACTACCGAGAAAGCAATAACGCCAAGAGAAATGATTTCATGCAACTTTTAATAGAACTCAAAAACGACAAGACCAAAGGAGAATTTACAATGGATCAGATAACTGCGCAAAGTTTTATTTTCATTTTAGCCGGATTCGAAACTTCTTCAACCCTTTCCAAATTCTTAATGTATGAATTAGCCCTTAATCCTGAGATACAAAATAGAGTAAGAGAAGAAATAATCACAGTTTTAAAAGAATTTGACGGAAATGTAACTTACGAAGCCGTATCTAAAATGCGATATTTGGAAATGTGTGTATGTGGTGAGTAAGTTTTGAATGCAAAAATTATGGTCACTAATGGTATAGTTTTTAGAAGCTGCAAGAAAATATCCTGCCCTACCGGTTCTTACACGCGTTTGTTGCAAAAATTATAAAATTCCCGATACTGATATCGTAATTGAGAAAGGGACAGTTGTACTAGTGCCAGTTCAGGGAATACATTATGATCCCGAATATTATCCCGAACCAGAAAAATTCGATCCTGAAAGATTCAGTGAAGAAAATAAGAAAAATATGATCTCGTGTACTTGGCTACCTTTTGGAGATGGTCCAAGAAACTGCATAGGTTTGTGTATAAGTTTCTTAAAAAGGAATCAATAAGATGTCAATTTTAATTTTTAGGATTAAGATTGGGCTTATTGCAGTCAAAAATTGCAATTATTTCGCTACTACGAAATCACAGCTTTTCCCTCAATTCCAAAACTAACCAACCGTTGAAATTTCAAGTAAAAGGGGTAGTATTAAATGTTGATGGTGATGTTTATCTAAATGCTCAAAAATTGTCGTAAAGACCATATCTCAGCTGCTATATGTCTCATATTTTTTGTTCTAGTTATTTCTGCTTTTCTTTTACTTAATTTTAAGTGTTAATAATTTTCTGAATTTTATTTCTAAAAATTTTGTTTTACATTTATATAAAATAATAATGAACAAACGGGAAAAAATTTGTACAAGATTCAAAAAACTATACAAAAAATGTACATTTGCATTAAAATATATTTTACGGCAATAATTTTGTTTATTATAGGATTAGATGTACATAAGTACATATTTATTTAATTAGAATAGACTAACATTAATTCAACAATATGAAATTACGTATGCAACACGTTCTGCATTGAGTTTGAAATGGTTGTAGTTATGGTAGGGTATAAGTGTCAAATTATCACAAAAATATTTAAATTAAACGTTTAAAAACTAGCAAAATTAAAATAATTAATTGGGAACACATAAGAAAATTACCTGACGTACTCCTACTTCCTTAGTTTTTCATAGAATAGAACAAACACTATCTTTTACAATTATTTGAAACGTAAAGTGAGGTTAAACAAGACAATTTTTTAATGTTTTTTCCGAAAGATTGCAAAGTGGTTAATTAAAAGGTAATATACCTTTTAATAAAGTTAACAAAATGTCGTGCCTTTATTGCAATGCAAAGTATGGCTTGTTTAATAAAGAGGTTTGAACAATTTTTTATTGTCTTGCAATTGTTTATAACAATTACTTTTAGGCTGGCTGTAGTAACTGCGGTGTTTCTTTGTGTCATAAGTGTTTAAAACATAAATATAAAGTTCCTGCAACTGGCAAGGAGACAAAGATATGTGGGGCATGTTATACAAAACTAACCAAGGGAATTAAAACAGACACAGAAGAAAGACCACCTCCTGATGTATTTCTAAAGTATGAATTTTATAATTGTTATTTCCTTATTTAACTATTATTCCTCCTAGGAGATTAGCTAATCTACAAAGTTCAAAATTAACAACTGCTTCAGACAGTAACAATCCTCAAGGATTTAAGCCAGGATTATCACCAGCAGACCAACAAATAGTGCAAAGATTGGAAAAACTTAAAGCTAAAGACAATCAAAAAGTCCTACTCTCTGATGATGAAATAAGAAAAAGACTGGACAATCTTAAGGGAGAAACAACAAAAGCCACAATCATTTATGATGTATATAAGGAAACAATTATTGTTCAAAAACAATTATTAATGAACTGTTGGTTTTAGCCTAAAGCAGTGGATACAAGAAGTGATCAGGAGAAAATCGATTCTCTCTTAGAACAATATGCTTCTGAAATTAATATTAAAGAAGATCATGAATCTACAAAAGATTTAGAAGAAAGAATTGCAAAATTAAAAGGAGAGAAAACTATTAAAGAGAAACAGAAATTGAATGATGAAGATGATGAAGCATCTGATGAAGAAGTAGAAGCAGAGAAAGTTGCTAAAAAAGTAACAAAACTAATTAATTTAGTTATTCTGTATTATTATTAATTGACTATTATTTTCAGGTAATGTCTCAAATTGCTTTAGAAAATAAAAGTGAGGCCAAGTCAATGGAAAAAGATAATGCTCTAAAGTTTGAAGAAGAATTGGAAGAAGATGAGCCTGAGTTGCCTTGGTGTGTATTATGCAATGCAGATGCTCAATTGAGATGTTTGGATTGCAAAGATCTTTATT